AATTATGTCAGTGTCGGTCCTCCGTACAGCAGAACATGAAGAGGTAGTTCAGAGACTGAATCAGGTGTGTTGGAGCAGGAAACATGTAAAACATGAAGGACTGCGGCCCTCGAGGACCAGGACTGCCCACCCCTGATCTAAAGTATCACTCAGAGTATCTGTGTTCACTGCTTTCTGTAACGGGGCTCTGGTACTTAAACCAAAGACTTGCTGGTACCAACACCTGGTACTGAACCCTTATACCAGAGACCTTACTAGTACTTTCTGGGCTGCTTTGAGCCGTTCGAGTGACACTCTGGTCAAAATCAGTTTAAATGTTTAGCACGAGCCTCCATCCAATCATTAATCTGTCAACAACTTCCTGCTTACGTCTCCTAGCGTCTCTGCGGAACAAAACAGCAACAAACAAGACGGCCTCAGTCTGAGCTGCGTTCGCCACAAAAACACGCTCGTATAAAACTTCCTCGGCCTTAGAAAACACCAAAACACTGAGGTATGTGCCAAAAGACCGAGGGCGTGCGTGTACGGCTGACTCCTGCAGAGCGGACATGTTTACTGACACACGGGCCAACATGAGGAACAGCAAACACTCAGGAGGTCACCTAAAGGTCTCCACAGACCTCCGAGTCAAATGAAGTACTTTCACCAGTATTGCATCTATAAAACGGTACGTTTTTCTACCTGCTTGATGGCCGTCTCCCCGATTTTGTCCGAATGTTTGCGGATGCTTTCCAGGAAGTCTCTGAGCTGCGTCATGGCCGTGTCCCGGATCTGCGTCCGCAGTTTGGGGATGTTTTCCGCCATGATGGAGCAGAAGCGGTACTGACCGGCCCTGGGAAGACACGTGGACTCCAGCTGCTCCAGCGTCCGCAACGCCGGGTAGTACCTACAATAAAACACCTGATCAGTCAGCGGGACTCTAAACTTGAAACAAAAACTAAAAAAAGGTTGAGTCGGGAAATCTTCTGCCTGAAAACATCTAAACTTTGTACGACTGTCTGATTACAGGAGAGGAAAACTACAAACAGACAACATCTTATCTGTCGGCGCAGTCAAACACAACCACGCAGAGAAATAAACACACTCCAATGCACCTCAGAGATGTTTGGCAACATAATGGCCCCTAAAACACTCCACTCCACTGCATCTGTCAAACACAGTCCCTCTGAAGGAGAACCGGGCGCTGGCTGACCTCGCTCTGCTCTCTGTGAGAACAGCAGCCACGGGACAGGCAGACGGAGGAAAGAAAAAAACACAAACAAACGACCAGTTTATGACCCGTCACACTGGGTTTACAGGTCACAGTGAGGACAGGGAGGAGAGGGGACATAGAGGGGTCGGTTCTTGTTCATGGATCCATGGCGCCATCTGGTGGCTGAAAGCTCAGAGATCAGGAGGAACTTTTTTAATTTTGTTCCAGATTCACAGCAAAACAGTTCGTTTGATTTGATCCAGTCAGAGGGACTGTAGGACAAGAAGGAAGGAGAAACACTTTGTTCTAAAGAAAAGACTCGTTTGGAGAAAAACTGGTATCAAGACACTCTAATTGATATTTGTTTCTATTAAATAATAATCAATAATTTACCTTTTGGCGCTCATCTGCTCCTGAAGTCTGCTGTACATCTCCAGAACTGATGGAACCAAACAAAGACACAAAGTGTCAACCAGAACCAGGACTAGTCTAGTTCACTGGGTCCCAAAATTTGCAGGTTATGACCCACAAAATAAAAGCAGAGATCGGTGGCCCCAGATATATTTTGGCGATAAACTTTGGTATCAGGTCAAATAAACAAGGGCATAATAACAACAATCATTATGTTCATTTCATCCATTTTTAAAAACAATAACCTCACTCTTTAGAAACCACTGAGGCAAAAAAAACTGTTAGTGGTCATTCTAAAGTGTAATTATTTCAGTAAATCCTTTCAAGACCCCACCCTGCTGTTTCAGTACACACAGTGGGATCCAGTCCCCAACTTTAGGAACCACTAGTTTACTGAAGCAGAATGAGTGGCTGCGTCCTTGTAGCAGGAGGCTATTTCTTTTCCAAAGCCAGCTACTGATCTGGATGGCCCAGGCAAATGAGGAGAAACTCATATGAGCTAGGGCTGCCACGATTAATCAACGACTAATCGATTATTAAAATAATCTATGACTAATTTAATAATCAATTAATCGTTTTCTTTTTTGTTGTTGTTTTTTTACTTTGTTTTTCTCTCCAAACTGYTTTGACACCTTCCACTGCCACATCTGCCTTTCTGTCCTTGACACACATGCACAGTAGTG